CGATGCTCCGGTGAAAGTATCCTTCGACTCCGCACCCATGGGCGGACAACGAAAGCAAAGGCGCCCACGAACGCAATGAAAGGACCAAGTGCAGAAGGACCTGTCTGTGCTCGGGATAACCAACTGGCGAAAATTCGCACAGGAGAGAAGCACTTGGAGAAGCCTTTTGGTCTAGGCCTAAACCGACAAACGGTTGTAGTGCCAAATGAGAAGAAGAAGGTTGATAAATTTCACTTTTTCGACTCCTGTTTGAGTTCCTCGATCTCCATTTTCAAATGTTTATCCCACTTCTGATACGAGTTGTTACGATTATCTTTGTTTAATTTAAATAAACACTCAATATGACCAAATTACAGGTACAATTAACTTTATTGTACAACAAATACTTTAAAATACTTGATTGCAGAAACAACAACAACAATTAATAATACTTGTTAAGGCAATTAAAACACCTTACAAAACTTGATAACACAACTCATCTCTGTTTTACAACTTGACTTTTAGCTTGCTGATTCGCAACTGACTTGTCTGGTAGTTTACTAACTTCAACTAACTTGACCTATACTGTGGTAGCGGCCTTATATATATACCTGCGCTCGCACTAATGGCAACTCTAGAACGTTCTGCCGTCTATCGCCCATTCTCTCGCTGTTCGCAGTATTCATCCACTGTCTCACTGACGAATATTCTACGTGATTCTTCGAACATTCTGCTATTTTCTTGTTCATAGGTCAAAATATTCGTCAACAAAGACGCTATGAGAAAGCATTAAAGATTTTTATTCATCAAATCAATAAAAAAAACTTATTGCGTTTTAAAGGAATACTTACCTTAATATTCAATTTTTTATTTGCGTAGAACTTTTTAAATTTTATAGTTACACACAAAAGCTTTAAGAAAAAGTTGTAGATAACATTAACTAAACCAAAGATCTTTCTAAAGTTTTCTGTTCCTTACAGTTCACAAGATAAATCAAAAAACTAATCACCTCTTGTAGGGTAAGGAAGGGTTTTTCCAAACCGCGATCCAAAATAAACGTTAGCGAAAAGAATTTAACTTTGAAAATTAGGCTGTGCAATTAAATCGATGCCAAATACAACCAACTGAAAATCTTACGAAAGTAAACACGACGTCTTGGTAGTAAACAGTAGACTAATTTATTTAATCTTGTGTTAGGTAGTAGATGTATGTATGTATGTTAATATGTAGCACATACGAAAGAGTGATACAGCAAAATGACAAAAATCTCGCTGTTGTATTAGCATATGTACATATTTAAGCATACATTCGTGTGTATATACAAATTGGTTATGTGGGAGCATCATAGTTAGGTTTTAGTATATACCGTATTTAGGGGGGGATATAAGTGGTCTGACCAACAATTGGTACAAAACAAAAAAGGGAAATTTTTCTTTTTGTAGTCAAAATAGTTTCTTAAAGGATTTTTTGGTAAAAACCCCTCAGATAACAAAACAATTTAAGCTTAAAAAATCTACACTGCCGGAACAAAGTATTGGCACAGCAAATTTTTCACAATATATGCAACAATTTTCATTCTAATATTTTTCCGCTAATTTCATATAAAAATATGGTTCATTCTACAACAAAAAACATAAAAATATAATTCCTAAACTTTGTGCAAAACTCGCGAAAATTGAGCAAATTTTCATGAAAATTTTCAACTTTTTAATCATATTGAGTATGTAGATTTGTAGCCCAATCAATTTTATTATAACAATGTGCAAGTTTTAAGTAGCTAGGAATTACCGTTGATTTTTGGTAATTTTTTTTCACGCAGTCTCTTCCATACAAAATTTTTTTTTCGAAAATACTTTATATGTAGGGCAACCAAAAATAAGCACAGTGTAAAAAAAAAACTAAAAAAAAATTACAATTTATGTACATACATATGTTGTACAAATCAATTTGAATATTTATTGTTTGAAATACTCGTAGCATGTTTTAGTAAGATATTGCGTATATAAATATTGCATATAAAAATATACAGCACATACATATGTATCTATGTACAAACTTTATAAAACCAAAGTACAAATTTTAGTTGATGTTGTTGTTACAATAAATTACAAACATTTGACTAAGGTTTTCAAAGAGAAAACTCTGTCCGTTTGGACGGAACACACTTTTGTACATAAAAAAACTTCTTTCGACATCAACTGAAGAAAGCGGAGCGAACTTAAAAGAACAAATTTCTGAAATAGTATACTTTGGATCGCAAGTATTTCTTGAAGACCCCCGGAAGTGTTCCGCAATGGTTTTCAATACTGGTATTGATATATTTTTGTTTCTAACAGCATTTAGTTTTTGCTTAACGCGTCCTCCTCCTTGCACTGCTTCAATAGCTTGCTGAGCGCTTGAGAGTATTTCTAATTGGTCCAAAAGAGATATATTTGATGTTTCTAGTTTGGCAATCGAAGATGGCAAAAACCATAATTTGACGCTATGTCAAATTTTTTTTTGAAATCTTATTTGAGGTCGTTTCTTCTTCATCTAGGGCTTGTACTATTTTAACTATTTTTTCAAAATATTGAGCATAATAGCAAACAGCATCAATCCATGTTCCCCACCTTGTAGTTATTGGCTGCGGTGGTAGGGGAAGCTCTGGATGCATTCCTTTAAACTTTTCAACTCTTTGAGGTGCTTTGAGATATATTTTTTTACATTCGATATCAACTGATCCACTTCTAAGAACTGTCCTCTTATAAATTAGCTTACTCTGTGGAGGCCGTGAATAATACAAGTTACGTGGGTTATTTTGGGGTAAAAAATTTGGATAGCCCTTGCGGCTTTTACCATATAAGGAGAGGCGTCTGATAGAAATAAAAGAATCGAGTCTTTATTGAAGCTTTCCCCCAAAAGTTTTACAGATTCATCCAAAAGTCGAGCGATTGTCATGTGATTTGCAGCTTCCAATACAGCTACATTTAAAAGAAACCTTTGCTTCGATACATCCACGTTTTCATGTAAAATACCAACATTGCCCACATGTCTGCCTGCAGAATCTGTAGTTTCGTCAATCGCAATCAAAATAAAGTGGTCTTTTAAGAGCGATTGTATCTTTTCCATAGTATTAATATAAAGTTGTTTAACATAATTAGTTCGAACGCTCGTCTCACATGGAACTTTCTGTGGGCATCATTTCTCGAAAAATTCCACTAATTTTTTGTTACGTATTTTAAATAAAGGTATATCTGTACACACAAACGCACTACATAAATCGTTTGCAAATTCAACATGCGGCGATGTCAAGCTCTTGGCAACAAACCTTTGTGACTGAGAAATTTAATTTAATATGATTTTCACTTTGCAAATCGAGGGCTTATATTCAATACCCTCTATCTGCTAAAACTCAATTTTTCAGGAGAACAAAAAAACTGTTTTGACAGCTATTTTTAAAAGTGTTAATAATTTTAAGTACCCACGCATATCTTAAAAATTTACGCTATATATTAAAAGTAAGACTTTACTTTTAATTCATTTTATTTTAGTTTAAAGATCAGATAGAGGTTATTGCAATTCGAATTGTAACTATTTATAAAAAAAGGTGTGCTGATGGCGGGTTTTGAAGAATAATGACATTGTCAGTTCTTTAGATGTATGTAAATGTAATGTTAAACTAAGTTTTTAACACATAAATCATTGGTCTGCAAACTCGTTCCCTTCTATTCGACGTGCCCAGGTAGCCACATAATTTAAATGGTATTTTTGTTCGAAAGAGTATTTCACGTGATTTCGAAATTATATAAGCACTGTTAAAGAAGGCTTCGATGGCTGATTTACTGTCCGTGCATATGAGGAAATTTCCTTCGTTTTTAGAGGCGAATCGTACAGCTTCTAGCAATTGTAAATGCCGAGCAGTACGCGGGAAAAGCACCAACGACAATTGTAACACAAAGCCCTTTTGTTAGCCGGTTTCATATCTGGAACCGTCTGTGAAAATAAGCTCCCAGGTCATTTATGAGTATAGAACTGGGCAAATGCCCTTGCGGTAGAGTTTTTACTTTAGTAAGCATCGGAGTAGATATGATGTCTAAATATTTGATGTAGCTTAATATACGAAATAAAGCTGATTGACGTGAGAGAATAAAGTCTCATTTCTGCAGTGAACAATCTTTGGGATGAGCGTCTTTGTGTTGTACTTTACCTCATGGTTATGGTTCTTCTGACTGCTGAATGGTAAGGTGTTTCTAGCAATTTAAGAAGCTTTTTGGGCAGTGTCCATAAATTACGAGTCCAAAGTCAATTTTTCCTAATATAAAAGCCCTAATTACATTTGCCAGTGTAGTTATATGAACTAAAGAATACTTGAATGATAAAAACTTTATAATATTTATATTCTAGCAAGTAAGCTTAATCTTACATTGTGACAGTGCTGCTTAAAAGTAAGTTTATTGTCAAAAATGATTCCCAATATTTTCAATGTGTTAGTATCGTGAATAGGGGTGTCATACACGGAGAGGGTTGGATGTATACATTTGTGTTTTCTGCATATGTGAAAAAACTGAAATCTGAGCTCCTGAAGATTTGGACCAATTGCGGCAAGTCTTTAGTCTTAGAAAAAATATAATAGAGCTAACTTTCCCAAAGGCTATATTGAATAAAATAACCGAAAGTGATGATCCTTGTGGGACCATTAAAGAGAGGAACAGTTTTTGACCCGAACAGCGAACTTCCGGTTGAAAAGGAAAGACTTAACAGCATTGTACATCCTCTCACCATTTTTCCAGCGTAATACTTTAGATATGCAGGGGAGGAGTGAAATAGGTCTGTAGTTAGAAACTAATGAATTGTTTATATTTAGTTTGACAATAGGAATAATAATATCAGTTTTCCACTCTTGTTGGCCCTTGAGATAGAATGGAGTAATAGAGTTTAATGACTCTATGTTTGACGGGATATGGAAGATTTTTTTGTTGTATCAAATTTGGTTCGTCAATAAAAACAATTTTCCAGTAAAATTGTGTAGATAGAGGATTTTGCTCTTATAACAAAATGTTATTGCAGATAGTGGAATTTTCAAAATGAGAATATAATACCATTAAAGCTATATTTTAAGTTTGACATTATTGTCATGGCTGAAAGATTAATCGGAGCTCACGTTACCATCAAAAACTCATTTTGATCAAAATTGCAGATAGAGGGTATTGAATATAAGCCCTCGAAATGCTGCTTTACGAGAAATTTTTTCTCAAATGATACGACCTTGCTACATAGCTTGCAAATCAGCACCTCACCGTCAGTTTGAAAATCAGAAAATTCTCCAACGATCTGCTTCAGCCTTTCCGAAATGGTTGACATTGCTTTTGGCATGATCTGTAAAAATAGATATACACATACATATGTACGTATGCAAAACCGAATACTTTTTAATTTTAATTTTTTGTTAACAAACACTCTTACCTTTTATTGAAATAAGCAAAAGTTAGCAAAAACCAAAACGATCTAATGAAAATTTATTCAAGTGCCGTTAGAAATTGAGATGTGAATAGATGTTGCAGTATTTCGATAATTCTATCGAACAGTGGCTAATGGCATGGTAGCATTTTTACGTACTCATTCGATATTTTTTTAAAGCAATCTAATACTCCCCAAATATTGAAAATATGACAAAATATGCATTTATAACAAACATATGCATTCATAACTAAAATATGTTAAAATATGCCCTAACAAATATGGCTCAAACGCTTTGTTTTTTCTTGAAACACCTTTATGTTTTAGCCATTATTCAATAGAACGCAACGTAGAAAATATGATATTGCATATTTTCGGTTGCCCTATTTAATTGGAAAAATGCAAAACACCTTCAACAAAAAAATTCTCAAAAATCAACGCGATTTTTGACTAATTCCGAACTTGCATTTTTTTACTAGAATTTAATGGGCTGCAAAACTGCATACTCATCTGATTATAAAGTTGAAAATTTTGATGAAAATTTGCTGAATTTTAACGAGTTTTACAAAAAGTTTAGGAATTATATTTTTATGTTGTTATGTTGTTGAATGAACCATATTTTGTATACAAAATTGGCGGAAAAATATTAGAATAAAAATTGTTGCATATATTGTGAAAAAATTGCTGTGCCAATACTTTGTTCCGGCAGTGTACATAAAACCTTTTTCAAAGATTTGTTTAAGAAAAGCTTGAAAACCTGCTCCAAACCTTTACCGATATAGACTTATAAGGTATCACAGGTATCATTCTCTCACCCTGTTTGTTTCTTTGCAAAAAACTCATTCACGTCCCAATTTTTTTTTTTATTCAATACCAACACATCTTAATTCAACACGGAATGAACTCGTTTATCTTACCTCCCTTTTTCATATTTTGAATTAGCTTATTCGCAAAGAAATTAAAAGGGTGAGAAAATACCTTACCAATGATACCTCATAACTCCAAATGGTAAGGTTTTGGCTGAGTTATTTAAGTTTAATATTTAAAAACAACTGTTTGTTAATAAAAAAAATTCCATTTTTGGGGGTATTTTCAGATCGTAAATCTTTATATTTTTGCGAGATATTTTGGTGGAAGTCTTAAAATATAATACATAGATTTTATAATTCCAGTGGAAAAACAGTACCGCTTTTTTTTGTATGGGCAGTGATGCAGTCTACGCTTGAAGTTCGCTTATGTATTCGTGCGACCATTGTTTCCAAAAAACTTGCTTAATGATTTGAGTCCATTTGTCGACGAGGTTGATGTTGTTTGCTACTGCTCGCTCCGGTAGAGATTTTAACGCACTGCCGGTTATGAAATGCCCTGGAGTCAAAGCCTCGTAATCGCTGGGGTCAGATGAGAGTGGAGAGATAAGCCGCGGATTAAGAACAGCTTCTATTTCCACTAGTACTGTCGTCAGTTCCTCATACGTACAGTGACGAGCAAAACTGTAACATGGTTTAACACTTTTTGTTTCAGCCACCGCTATATTTCCAAGTTCTAACGACTTTCATACTTTTGCTGTATATTCTTGTTGGTACATCCCTACTCCCTCTTTCATATTGATTTGAAGTCAATACAACAACAATAAAAAAACCAGCAGACAAAAATGTAAATTAAGGCAGATGTTACAGTTTTGCACTCACTCTCAGTTTTGCATTTGACAGTTATCTTTTACTTAGTTGCAAGTCAGATGACTTTTTTCTATATTGTAATTTATTGAAGAAGTGATCACCAGTAAATAATATAGTTAATCAGGAACCATAAATGTAAATAATAGATTTACTACGGAAAGGCGGAACCGCACGAAAAGTGGCAAAAAATTTTGGAATTTGCTACTTAAAAATGTTAAGACTTAGAAAAAAATATAATCTAAAGTGTTCCCAAGGACAAAGGAAGTATGTTAAAAAATATTACGGTACGATATCTTGTGAACTTAGAAGCATGTAGCGATGCAGCCACTATTACAGAAGCGCTTAAGGTATTAAACTTTAATGCAAATCAGTAGACAGCGAGGCGAAGAATTGCCAAATTGAGCGCAAAGGCATCATAAAGAAGAAATAAGCAAATTTGATCATAATACATGTGCGAGTGTGGCAGCATTTCGCTGCATCGCACGAAAACCGAACCGTTGCCTATTGGGATATGTTAGGCCGTTCAGAATGCAATAAAAAACATATTTTTAAGTTTCAATTTAAGGTTATTTGGTCTGACAAGACTAAATTAATCGCTTTCAATCAGATGGCCGGGCATGGTATTGGATCAAAGACCCAAATTAAGCCTAAGCGCATCATGTACTGCAAACTGTGAACCACAGTGGTCGGTCAATAATAGTTTGGGGTTGTATTTCAAAAATATTGTTGGTCCCTTAAACGCATTTTGCGTAAAGAACAGTATCTGTTCATATTTCAACAAAATTTGCAAGATGTAGTCGAAAAATGAGAGTTTCTGCTGAAAAATCACCCAAAACATACTGCATATGTTCGCAAAGACTGGATGCAAAAGCAAAAATTTGCTATTTTGAAATGACCTGCACAAACCGCGGACATGAATCTCATCGAGATTTTGCGAAATCAACTAAAAGCACAGCTTAATAAGTATCAAAGTCCGTAAAATCGAGTACATGACCTGTGAAAGCAAACTAAGGATATACCTCCAGAATTTTTACAAAGATACAAATAAGGTATGCCAAATCACATCCAGGAACTGAAACAGGCAAAAGAGTACTGAACATTGTGTTAGTAGTTCTTTTTTTCGTGAAAATTGTTAAAAAGCTCTTAAAAATATATGAGTGCAAAACTGTAACATCTGCCTTAATTTACATTTTTGTCTGCTGGTTTTTTTATTGTTGTTGTATTGACTTCAAATCATTATGAGAGAGGGAGTAGGGATGTACCAACAAGAATATACAGCAAAAGTATGAAAGTCGTTAGAACTTGGAAAGATAGTGGTGGCTGAAATAAAAAGTGTCACACCATGTTACAGTTTTGCTCGTCACTGTAAGTCTGGCGTTCATAATGCTGCGGTTTAGATGACCCTTGGCTGATTTAACTGCGGCTTCCCAAATGCCGCTAAAATGAGGTACTCTGGGAGGAATAAAATGAAAATTCTCAAATTCATTAGTACAATAGTTGGTGATGACATTTTGGTTCTCTTTCTTGAAAAGCAATGCTTTCAATTCCGCAAGTTTGCTGCAAGCGCCGATAAATTTGGTTGCATTGTCGCAGAAGATGTCTGCGGAAGGCCTCTCATCCCAATCATTCGCTTTAGTGAAGCTAAAAATGCATCCATGGTTAAGTCAGAGACGACTTCGATGTGTACTGCCTTTGTAGCAAAGCACACGAAGATGGCGATATAGGCTTTATAGGGAACATTGCCCCTAATGCGAAGGTAAACGCTAATCGGTCCACAATAATCGATGCCGCAGCGGGAGAACGGGAGCGATGGTGTCAAGCGTTCAATAGGAAGATTGCCCAACATGTGTTGGAGTAGTTTTGGCTTGTATCGAATGCAATGTATACATGATCTGAAGATGCGTCTAGAAATATCGCGTGCATTAACTTCCCAAAACTGAAGACGAATTAAAGCCACCAGCGCCTTCGGGCCGGCGTGATAGTTTTTGATGTGTAGATGTCGAACAAATCGCGTGACGAATTCACATTTGCTAGGTAACAAAATAGGGTGCTTTCTGGAAGATCTGCCAATTCAAGTCGTTCGCCGACTTTCAACAGTTCAAAGTCATGAGTAGACTCCAAGAAAGGGTTTGAATTATGTAGCATGCTATTTATTGTTAATTAGAAAACATGGGTTTAATTTTTGTAAAGAGTCGGGGAAGTAGTAACGCACCGCAAAGCTTCAGCTTTGGTAGGGACTGTCGTTTGGTTGGGGCCACACATGATTTTGCCGTGAGAAGGCGAACGCGAACATTACCAGTATTGTCTACGATGCGTATATATATTCCGCAGCCATAACCACGAATCGATGAATCACAAAATCCATGTATTTGCAACGACTGCATGTTATCAGATAAACAGTACCTTGGAACTTCTGCGGTAGGATCCGAAAGGTCGTTGACAAAGGTTTGCCAAGCTGACTGGATGGTTTGCGGAGCCGATTCATCCCATTCGAGTCTCAGCAACCACAGCTTCTGAAGCAGATTTTTAGCTAGGAGGCCAATAGGGTCGAAGAGCGATGATGCGATGTCCTTGTCCTTTTTGTAACACGACCGTTTAGTGGCTGCTTTAATAGAAAAGAAAATAGAAAATTAGCGTGAATCTGATCCCATTTAAGACCAAGGTGACAGAGTTTGTCGAGATTCAAATCACTGTCAGTGTGTTCGCCTCTGCACCGCTGGTGGTTACAGTTCCATTTTACCAGCTCAAGTCCACCTAATTTCAGTAATTATGTTACCTCATATTTGATGCGTGATAGCTCTGCAAGCGAGTCAGCACCACAGAGCAAATCGTCAACGTAGACCGCGTTGAGCTGAAAGGTGAATATCTTGATGAGGCGAACTCCTCCACAAAATATACTGGAATTTGCGATATTCCTCACTGACTAGCCTATACATTTTCACGCTTTGGATAGTAGGTCCGACTATTTGGATGTCGTTTATCGATTTCTGCATAGTTTTTCGACAAGATGCGTCGAAGAAAACTCTTCGCTTCGTGGTTGTGCTATTCGGCTTCAAAACGCAATAGTGGGGGATAAAGTACTGAGATTCGTTCAATTCCGGGTTGGGCACTGCTTGCATATGGCCTAGACTCTCATACTCATCCATTAATGCGACGTACTGTGTCCTGAGGATAGGGGACCGTTGTAACCGACGTTCTAGCGCATTAAATCCTCGCAAGGCTGTAGTGTATAATTCACCTAAGCAGGCCGGATCGTCTTTGAACGGAATTTTTACTATAAGCTGACCATTGGCGCTCCGAGGAACGGTGACATTATATAGTTTTTCGCAGCTGTGTTGCTCACGAGTCCACACGTCAGACTTTGTTTCAACTTCTTCAATCTGGAATAACTT